TGCTCAGTCCCCTTTTTAAACAGACGAATGGACGACTTCCCATGGCTCCAATCACCAGCCAAAAGGGCACTGGGACCGGTGTATTTTGTATGGAGAACCGCTGCTCAGGGGTGCTGACAAAGCAGCCACGCGGGGCAAAGCAGCAGCGCCAGCCGGCACAGCTGCGCAGGTGGAAGCAGCCGTGCTGGTGACCCGTGGAGCTCCTCCACCTGGGAATTTCCTAGTCTGTGGGCAATAAAAATGTGGCGTCCACTCACCCTCTGAGCTTTCACTCGGAGCTGCAATCCTGAGCTGTTCCTAAACGGCTATCTTGGATCCTCCCCCCTACTTTTAGTTCTTTAAGAAATATCTATACTGTTTTCCGTAGGGGTTGTACTAGTTTATATTCCCACCAGCAGTGTAAAAGTGTTCACTTTTCACCACATTCATGCCAACTTCTATTATTTTTTGATTTTTAAGTTATGGTCATTCTTACAGGAGAAGGTGGTATCTCATTGCTGTTTGAATTTGCATTTTTTTGATCATTAGTGATGCTGAACATTTTTTCATGTTCATTGGCCATTTGTATATCTCTTTTTGAGAATTGTCTCTTCATGTCCTTTGCCCGCTTTTGGATAGGATTACTTGTTTTTTTCTTGCTGATTTGTTTGAGTTTCTTGTAGATTCTGAATATTAGTCCTCTGTCAGATGCATAGTTTGTGAATATTTTATCTCATTCTTTGGGTTGTCTGTATACTCTGCTGATTATTTCTTTTGCTGTGCAGAAGCTTTTAAATTTAATTAGGTCCCATTTATTTATTTTTGTTTTTATTTTATATGTTTTTGGGTTTTTGGCCATGAACTCTTTTCCTAAATCAATGTCTAGAAGAGTTTTTCTAATTTTGCCTTCTAGGATTTTTATGCTTTTAGGTCTTATTTTTAAGTCTTTGATCCATCTTGAGTTGATTTTTGTATAAAGTGAGAGATGAAGATCCAGTTTCATTCTTGTACATGTGGATTGCCAATTATCCCAGCACCAGTTGTTAAATAGGATGTCCTTTCCCTACCTTAAATTTTTGTTTGATTTCTTGAAGGTCAAATACTTTGTCAAATTATTCAGCTTTATTTCTGGGTTCTCTATTCTGTTCCATTTGTCTACATGCCTATTTTAATGCCAGTACCCTGCTGTTTTGGTCACTATTGTATAGTTTGAAGTCAGATAATGTGATGCCTCCTTTTTTAACTTCTTTGATGGTATCCTTTATAGTGCGTAAGTTTTTACTTTGAATAAAGTTCAATATGTCTATTTTTTTGTTTTGTTTCTAGTGTTTTTGGTGTTATATTTAAGAAACCATTGTCTACCTTTCCACAGTGTAGACATACATCAAAACATCATGTTTTAATCATAAACATTTATAATTTTTGTCAATTAAAAATAATTTTAAAAACATTGTCTAATCTAAAGTTACTGAGATTTAAACATATTTCTCTCTTCATAGAGTTTTGTAGCTTTGGCTTTTATATTTAAATGTATGATCCATTTTGAGTTAATTTTTGTATATGTTATAAGTAAGGGATTTAACTTGATTCTTTTGCATATGGATATAGTGTCGCTACCATTTTCTGAAAGGACTAGTTTTCCTCAACAAATTGTCTTGACACTCTTTTCAAACACAATGGACTGAAAATGTGAGGATTTATTTCTGGAATTTCATTTCTGTTCCATTAATCTGTGTCTATCCTTATGCCAGTATCTTATTTTTTTGATTACTGTAGGTTTGTATAAGTTCTGAAATAGAAAAATGTAAGTTATCTAACTGTTCTCTTTCAAGATTGTTTTGTCATTATGAGTCTCTTCGATATCTATATAAATTTTAGGATTAGTTTGTCACTTTTTGCAAAAACCCAGCTAATATTTTGACAGAGATTTCATTGATTTTTAATATCAATTTGGAGAGTATTGCCATGTTAACAATGTTAAGCCTTTTAATCTATAGATATCTGGGGTGACTTTTATTTAGGTTATCTTTAATTTTTTTAAATAGTATTTTGTAGTTTTCAGAGTAAAAGTTTTACACTCCCGTTTATTTTATTCCTATGTATTTTATTCCTTTGGATTCTATTTATTGTAAGTAGGGTTCTTTATTTTATTTTGGATAGTTTATTGTTATTATGTAGAAATGCAATTGACTTTATATTTTAAAAATTTCACTTTCATTCTAAGTCCTCATAAAGCATTTATTATAGTGTAGTGATGAAACACTGGATTTATAATTCTGATTTTGCCACCTCACGAATCAAGAAGTTTATCTTCATAAAAAACTTTGAAGCAGTGACTTCAACTTCAGTGTTTCTATAGATTTGACAACAATTAACATCATGTTTCCTCTCTTTGCATTGATCATGCAACAATATAAAGTACCCTATGCCCTTATCAATAAGCAATATCCTTGGTCAATGAATGAAGATGTGAATAATTTTTAAAATTCTTTCCATATAGTTTCTTTTTTACTCTGTCACCCAGGCTGGAGTACAGTGGTGTGATCATGGCTCACTGGAGCCTCGACCTCCCATGCTGATGTGATCCACTCATCCCAGCCTCCTGAGTAGCTGGGACTACAGGCATTCAACACTATGCCCAGCTATTATATATATATATATATATATATAATACACACACACACACGCACACGCACACGCGCACACACACACACACACACACATACATATATATATATATATATATATATGGAGACAAGGTCTCACTATAATGCCCAGGCTGATATCGAACTCCTGGGGTCAAGTGATCCTCCTATCTCAACCTCCCAAAGAGGTGGGATTACAAGTGTCAGCCACTGCACGCAGCCCATTTTCCATATAGTTTCAAAGCAATTATCAGGCATGGTTCTAACAAGAAATGGATTTAACAGACATGCTTGAAATAGATTTACTTAAAAAGCAGTTGAACAAATATGGTGTGAAATAAAAACTTAGAGTGGGGAAAAGTACTCATTATAAATCAGCAGCAGTGGAAATCTATACAGTAATTGATTGCCAGTAGCTCCAATTATTTTGAAAGATCTCACAATTGACTTTTTTTTTTTTTTTGAGATGGGGTCTTGTTCTATTGTCCAGGGTGGGGTGCAGCAGCATGATCATGGCTCACTGCAGCTTCAACCTCCTAGGCTCAAGTAATCCTTCTGCCTTAGCCTCCTGAGTAGCTGGGACCGCAGGTATGCACCATCATGCCTGGTGAATTTTTCAATTTTTTTGTAGCGATGAGGTCTTGTAATATTGCCCAGGCTGATTTTGAACTCCTGGACTCAAGCAATACTTGTGCTTTGGCCTCCCAAAGTGCTGATATTATAGACTTGAGCCACTGTGCCTAGCCCACAATTGACTTTTTTATATTAATTTTGTAACTGTAGCTTGCAGATCTCCTTTATTAGTTCTAATACTTTTTTAGTGTATTTCTTAGGATTGTATTTATGTAAAATTGTGTTCCCTGCAGATAGTTTTAGTTCTTCCTTTCCAATCTGCATGTGTCTTCTTTCTTTCTTTCTTTCTTTTTTCTTTTTTCTGTCTAATTGCTCTGGATGGGTTAGAACCTTCAGTGCGATATGGAATAGAGGTGGCTAAAGTGGACATACTTGTTTTGTTCCTAACCTTAGAAGGAAAATACTTATTCTTTCACTAATTGGTATGATGTTAGCGGTAGGTCTTTTTATATATGACATTTATTAGATGTATAAGGCAGGAACAGAAAGAAAGTTTAAAGAATTATATTGTGAACGCTCATTCATATGTATATTCTTACCACTCATATTTGACAGTTATCATTTTGCTATATTCACTTATCATGTATCTATCCATCCATCTGTCCACTCATCTATCTGTATTATTTTGTGGATGCATTTTCAAGTTGCAGATGTTGGTATATTTTAACACTGCAGCATACATAACATTAAATAGATTTTAATATTGTTTATAGTAATTTCTTAACATTTTTGAGGTCACAAATCTATTGTACCGTTTTATGAGTTTTAAATAATGTATATGCTTGTGTAATCCGAACTGCTGTGAAAATACAGAATATTACATCTTTACTCAAACAAGTTTCTTCATAATCCTTTCCAATAAATAACTCCTCAAGACAACTACTGTTCTGATTTTATAAACATTTTTGTGTATGGCTTCTTAGCATAGTGCTTTTGAGAATCATCTGTGTTGTTGCATCTATCAGTAGTTTGTATCTTTTAATTGTTGAGTAATATTCCATTGTATGATTATGTAACATCACAGTTTGTTTTTTGATTCTCTTGTTGATGGATACCTGGGCTTTTTCCAGATTTTTACTGTTTTGAATACAGCTGCTAGGGTCTTACTTATACAAGTCATTTTATGAACATATGCTTTTAATTTTTCTGAGTCTATACATAGCAGTGAAATTGCTAGATTGTAAGACAGATGTATGGTTAGTTTTTTTGTTTGGTTTTTGTTTTTTTTGAGATGGAGTTTCGCTCTTGTTGCCCAGGCTGGAGTGCAATGGTGCAATCAGCTCACTGCAACCTCTGCCTCCTGGGTTCCAGTGATTCTCCTGCCTCAGCTTCCTAAGTAGCTGGGATTACAGGTGCATGCCACCACGCCTGGCTAATTTTGTACTTTTAGTTGAGATGGGTTTCTCCATGTTGGTCAGGCTGGTCTCAAACTCCTGACCTCAGGTGATCTGCCTGCCTTGGCCTCCCAAAGTACTGGGATTACAGGCATGAGCCACTGTGCCTGGATATATGTCTAGTTTTATAAGAAACTGCAAGACATTTTGAGAAAGTGTTTGTATCATTTTACATTCCCATCAACAATGTATGAGTTAATGTTACTCTATATCCATGTTAATGTTTTGTAGTACCTTTTTCCATTTAAACTAATTTTAGACATTCTGGTGGCTTTATAATGGTATCTTATGATTTTAATTTTTATTTTATTTCCCTGAAGGCTTATTTGTATTATTTGCTCTCTTTCAGACAGTTCGGCATGGTTTTCCTCATCAGCCCACAGCATTAGCCTTTGATCCAGTTCAGAAAATCTTGGCTATTGGGACGAGAACAGGTGCTATACGAATGTATCCTTAATTTTTGGTTCATTATTTGCTACATTAATGCCAATTACATTTCTTTAAATATTCAGGTAAGAGAAATATTTATGACCAAGGAAATTTTATTATTTTTTAAGAAATGAGTAACTAATTGTGAAAAATCTACATTTTCAAATTTATTGGCATATTTTTAATGTCTTTGAGATCAGTATTGATGTCTCTTCTTTAACTCCTGTTATTGGTAATTTGTATCTTGTCTTTTTTCCTTATCTGTTTGCCTAGAAGTTTATCAATTGTATTGATTCTCACAAAGAATCAACTTTTGGTTGCATTCCCCTTTTTTATTGTGTTTCTATATTCGATTTCATTGAATTCTGCTTTGATCATTTAAATTTCTTTGCTTTTGCTTATCTTAGGTTTAACTTGATCTTCTTTCTTTAGTTTTTAAAGTGGAAACAGGTAATTAATTTGAGAACTTTCTTCTTTTCTAATGTGTGCCCATAGTACTATAAATTTCTTCTTGAATTTTATTTTAGTGTCATCCTATTTTTTAAAACTAAACTTTTTATTTTGAGATAATTGTAGATGCACATGTAGTCATAAGAAATAATACAGAGATATTCATATTATTTCACCTACTTTGCTCCAATTGTAATATCTTATAAAACTATAGTGTAATATTACAACCAGGATATTGACATTATACTGTAAAGATATAAAACATTCCTATCACCACCAGGATTCTTCAGATTGCTCTTTTATAGTCACAACTTGTCCCTCCAACACCATCCCTGACCCCTAACAATCACTAATTTGTTTTTCATTTCAATAATTTTGCCACTTAAAAAATGTTGTATAAATGGAATAATAGAGTTTATAATCTTTGGTGATTGGCCATTTTCACTCAGTGTAACTCTCTGAAGATTCATTCATGTTGTTGCATATATCAGTAATTCATTTTTTAAAATATTGAGTTGGATAATATTCCATGGTGTAGATGTACCACAGTGTAGTCATTCACCTATTCAAGGAAATTTTGACTTGTTTCTGGTTTTTGGCTATTCTTACTAAACATCTATGATCATCTGTGTACATATTTTTGTGTGAACCTAAGTTTTTATTTCTCTGATATAAATGCCCAGGGGTACAACTGAAGAGTCATGTGGTAATTAGATATTTTAGTTTTAATTATTTTAGTGTGCCATTTGGTGTTATTAAATAAATTTATATTATTATGCAGCCATCATCACCATCCTTTTCTGTAACTCTTTCACCTTGTAAAACTGAAGCTCTACACCCATTAAATGATAACTTTCCATATCCCTCTTCCTCTAGTCCCTGGAAACCGCAATTCTGCTTCCTGTTTCTGTAATTTTCACTACTCTGGGTAACTTACATAAGGGAAAGCATACAGTATTTTTCTTTTTTGTGATTGGCTTATTTTATTCAGCATAATGTCCTTAACATTTATGCATGTTGTAGCATATGTGAGAACTTCCTTCCTTTTTAAAACTGAATAATATTTCATTGTATGTATATACCACATTTTTATATCTGTTCATCAATTGATGGACACGGGTTTTTTCCATGTTTTAGTTGTTATGAATAATATTGCTATGAACATGGGTGTACAAATATCTCTTTGAGACCTTGCTTGTAGTTCTTTGGGGGATATATCCAGAAGAATTGCTGGATCATATGATAATTGTATTTTTTATTTTTTGAGAAACTGTTATTCTGTTTCCTATAGCAGCTCTACTACTTTACATTTTCACCAATAGTAATTGCCTTTTGATGTAAAAATTTTAAATTTTAATGAAGTTCAAGTTGGCTGTTTTTTTCCTTTGTTGCCAGAGATCTTCACAAAATGGAATGAATCTTTTACCCTGTTTTCTTCTAAGAGTTTTATAGTTTTAGGTTTTACATTTAGGTCTTTCATCCATTTTTGTATTAATTTTTGTATATGATAAAAGGGTCTAATCTCACTATTTGGCATGTGGATATCCCATTTTCCCAGCACCATTTGTTGACAAGACTCTTTTCTCCATTGAATGGTCCTGGCACCCTTGTTAAAAATTATTTGATCATACACGTTAGGGTTTGTTTGTGGGCTATTTTATTCTACTGATCTATAGGTCTGTTTTTATGTAACTACTACACTGTTTTTATTTACTGTAACTTTGTAAATTGGAAGCCAGATTGTGTGAAATTTCAAATTAGATGATTTTTCAGTATTTATTAAAATAATCAGGTAGTTTTTGTTCTTGATTATGTTACTGTGATATATCATGTTTATTGATTTGCATATGGTGAACCATTCATGAATTCTTGAGATGAATCCCACCTGATGATGATAAATGATTTTTTAAAAATATGTTGTCTTGTAGAAATTGATTTGTGAGTATTTTGTTGAGGATTTTTGCATCTAGGTTTATCAGATAGTGGCTTTTAGTGTTCTTTTTTGTTTTGTCTTTGTTGGTTTTGGTATTAGGATAATGCTGGACTCAGAATGAATTTGAAAGTATTCCCTGCTTTTCATTTTTTTTTTTTTTAAAGAGTTTGAGTAGAGCTGGTATTAGTTTTTTAAATGTTTGGTAGCATTCAGCCATGATACTATCAGGCCCTGGGTTCTTCTTTGGTGAAATATATATATATATATATATATTTTAATTACTGCTTAAATCTTGTTACTCATTATAGTTTGTTCAGGGTTTCTATTTCTTCATATTTCAACCTTGGTAAGTTGTATGTGTCTAGAAATTTGTCCATTTCTTTGAAGTTTTAAAATTTGTTGGTGTATAGTTCCTAATAGTTTCTAATGAGGCTTTGTATTTCTGTGGCATAAGATATAACATCCTTTTTAGTCTTTGATTTTATTTAGGTTTTCTGTCTTTTGTTCTTATTCTAGCTAAAGGTTTTCAATTTTGTTTACTTTTTCAAAAAACCAACTGTCATTTTGTTGATATTTGGTATTTTTTTAGTCTCAATTTTATATCTTTATACTCTAATCTTTTTCTTTCCTTCTAGTAATTTTGGGTTTGAATTGTTCTTGCTTTTCTTGTTATGTTGTTCATTTGAAGTCCTTCCAATTTTTGTGATCATGGCTTTTTATTGCTATAAACAACTTTTTTCTTAAAACTTCTTTTGCTGTATTTCATAGATTTTGGTATGTGGTGTTTCCATTTTAATTTGTCTCAAGAAATTTTTTAATTTTCTTTTAAATTTCTTCATTAAACCATTATTTAAGAATAATGTTGCCTAATTATTATGAATTTGTACAGTTTCTCATGTTCCTTCTGTGGTTTATTTCTAGTTTTATCCCATTATGGTCAGAAAAGTTAATAATATGATTTTGACTTCTAAAATTGTATTAAGACTTGTTTTGTGACTTAACATATGGTCTGTCCCAGAGAATGTTGCATGTGCTGTTGAGAAAAATGTGTATTCTGCAGCTATTGGATGGAATGTTCTATAAATGTCTGTTTGGTCCATTTGGTCTAGAGTGCAATTTAACTCTGATGTTTCTTAGTTGATTTTCTGTTCAGATGATCTGTCTATTGCTGAAAGTGGAGTGCTGAAATTTTCTACTGCTATTGTGTCACAGTCAATTTCTCTCTTTAGGTCTGTTAATATTTGCATTATGTATTTGGTTTCTCTGGTGTTGAGCACATATATATTTACAATCGTAATATCCTGTTGTTGTATTAGCCCCTTTATCATCATATAACGTCCTGTATTTTTATTTTTATTTTTTTTGCCGTTCTTGACTAAAGCTTATTTTATCTGATATAGCTACTTCTGCTCTCTGTTGGCTTCCATTTGCATGTAATATCTTATTCATCCCTTCACTTTCAGTTTGTGCATGTCTGTACAGATAAATTGAATTTCTTGTAGACAGCATATAGTTGGGTCTTTTAAAAATCCATTCAGCCACTCTTTCTTTATTTTTATTTTTTAAATAAATTTCAATAGCTTTGGGGGTACAGCCTGTTACCTGAGCATTGTATACTATACCCAGTATATAGTCTTTTATCCCTTCCCACTTTGAGTCTCTAGAGTCCATTATCTCACTGTTATGCCTTTGCATCCTCATAGCTGAGCTCTCACATAAAACATAAGACATTTGATTTTTTCATTCCTGAGTTACTTCAATTAGAATAATGGCCTTCAGCTCCATCTAAATTTCTGCAAAAGACGTTATGTCATTCTTTTTTTATGACTGAGTAGTATTCTATGGTGTATATATACCACTTTTTCTGTATCTACTTGTTGGTTGATGGACACTTAGGTTGGTTTCATATCTTTGTAATTGTGAATTGTGCCAGTATAAACATGTGTGCATGTGTCTTTTTCATATAATGATTTATTATTATTATTTTTGGGTAGATAGTAGTGGGATTGCTGGATCAAATGGTAGTTTTACTTGTAGTTTTTAAGGAACATCTACACTGTTTTCCATAGTGGTGGCTCTAATTTACATTCCTATCAGCAGTATAAAAGTGTTCCCTTTTTACCACATCCATGCCAACATCTATTTTTTTAAACTTCAAAATTATGGCCATGCTTGCAGGAGTAAGCATGCAGGTGTAATTTCATCATGGTTTTAATTTGCATTTCCCTGATACTTAGTGATGTTGAGTTTTTTTTTTTTTTAATATGTTTATTGGTTGTTTGTATATCTTTTTTGAGAATTATCTATTCATGTCATTTGCTCACTTTTTTATGGGATTATTTGTTTTCTTCTCATTGATTTGTTTGAGTTCCTTGCAGATTCTGGATACTGTTCTTTGTTGGATGCATAGTTTGTGGAGATTTTTTTTTTCCACTCTGTGGGCTGTCTCTTTGCTGATTATTTCTTTTGCTATACAGAAGCTTTTTAGTTTAATTAGGTCCCATTTATTTATTTTTGGTTTAATTGCATTTGTTTTTGGGGTCTTAGTCATCAATTCTTGCCTAAGTCAATGTCCAGAAGAGTTTTTCCAATGTTATCTTCTAGAATTTTTATGGCTTCAGGTCTTATATTTAAG